GCGGGATACCCCGTTCATAGTTAACTAGAACGTGGAGGGGGCATTCGTTTATTTGAATGGCATGACTGTGTATTCGTAACTCCCGTAGCAAGTACGAAACACAGTTTTGTGGTAGTCGTCAGCAAAGATGCGAATCTGGTGGTAACTGCCACGAAGATCGATTCTGGAAAAATACCGAGCTCCGCGATGTTGGTCGATCAGCTCATCAGCGCGGGGAATTGGATATCGCGACTTGATGGTAACCCGATTCAGCGCACAGTAGTCAATGCACATGCAAAGTCCGCCATTTTGTTTTTTTATGAACAGGATCCGCGCTGCAAACGGGGACGCACTCGGCCGAACGAACCCTCTGGCCAGGAGGTAATCCAACTGGCTTCTGAGTTCCTGGAGTTCGGGCTGGGTCAGCCTACATTGACTTCGTACAATAGGTTGCGAGTCGGGCTCCAGCTCGATCCGATGGTCCGAGGGCGTTCACGTGGTAGGCCACTTGGCAGATCGTCGGGGAATATCTTCGGGTAGTGTTTGATGATTTTTGTCAAGTCCTCGGGAACTACTGCGCAGAGTTTGTCGATGACGGTAGGGCTGCTGTCGTCCATAGATTCTTGCAGATGGACAGCGAAGAGCTCGGCTCCTTTCTTGACCGCACGTGTGAGCGTGATGGCGTTCACACATGTCGTCATTAGGTCCGCTCCACATCAGACAGGTAATTTTCGCCAACCGCTCGCACACCTCACTTCGCATTCGCCCGTTGTCTTATCAATTTTCGGATTAAATCGCCGTAGCCAATCTTGTCGCCAGCATTGGCGCGCTAAAGCCGAAATCGTCGCCACACTTCATGCGAATGACCGGCACTTTGTCGCGTACCGCTAGTGAAGTGTCGTCAACCAATCGTTTGTCAATTTTGGGTAGACACCTTTCCAAGGGTAAACCCATTTTTTAGCCATCGGTCGATGAATTAAACTGTGGCTCGAAACCATCATGGATGAAAGTTTTTTTTTTTTTTTTTTTTTTTCCGTTGACTTTTCCTTCCTCCATTATAGGGTGATCCACAGGTTCGCACCCTTTATGCATCCGGACACGGTCGATAGCATGTATCTGTACCACGACCCAGTAGAGATGCTGTTCTTCGGGCGAGGCAGGCTCATCAGTAAGGGGCCCGTCTACAATTGACGCTTTGCGTTTCCCTGCCCTTCAACACCGTTCTTCTTTTTTCTGCTTCACGTCAGGGCAATTTCGAGCAATGTGATCCAGTTGGTGGCAGTTGAAGCAGGTTCTATTGCGAAGGTCGTCTGCAGATGATCCTGTCCGCGAAAATGATTTCCCTCCTGGGAACCCGCTCTCTCATACGTCCGATTGATGTGAATCAGATTTGGATTGCTTCGTTGAACGTCGCCGAGCAGCGCATGCAAACTTTGTAGCACATGTCTCCCTTCAAACCGGCGATGTATCCGGTCCGCTTCTCAGCATCGCTCAAATCCGTGATCTGATCGCAAAGCGCCAGTAATGATGAGGTGTAGTCCTAGACAGAACTCAACTGGCGCCAGGTGTCCAGCTTCGTACGAGCGTTTTCCGAGATGGAGATGGGCTCAAAGCGTGTGCGTAGAGATACCCCACACTTTCCACGTGTGAATCTCGGTCGATTCAAATATCGAGGTTGCCCCCCGGTTAGCTGTCCCGGAAGTCCCGAATAGTCCCTGATTGTTCCCTACCGAAGAATACGCTTTGAGTGTAGATCGCCACCAGTCTAACGCCGGTCCACACAGTAGTGATACAACCAATTTAATTTTCAAGTCGTCAGTAGTAATTCATGCAGCATTAAAATAAACTTTAGTAGCGACAAGCCAGCCCATAATAGTAGTGTTCTTATATGTGGGGTTGTACGGGGGTGGCAGCAGGGGCTTGATCTTGGCAACTTATACAAGTGTTATTGTAGCGGTTGCCTCGGCTTGTGTGTGCTTTTGTCGCTGAAGCTTCGGCGCGTGCTGCTGCGTCAGCTTCTTCTGCTCGGCGATCTTCTGACACCTCACGTGCGAGTCCGTCCAAAACAGTCTCACCACATCTCGTGCTTGCGACCTCCTCCAGGGCGGCAGACTTCTGGCGCAATTCTCCTCGTGCCTGGCGCAACTCATTGGCTTCAATCAAAAGTCTCTCGTTGTCCTTGAGTACAGCTGTCAGGCGAGTGTACGTGCGAACTTCGCCATCGGCTCATCGAATTTTGCTTGATCCATGATGTGAATACTACGCCTGGTGGGCAGGAGAACTTCCACGATTATCCAGCTCAGTTAAAAGCTCAAACGCTATCGTAGTTGAGCGAATCAATTAATATAGTTCGCAGGCGACCGCTTTGCAACCTTGCTGAGGTAATCACGTGAGCATTCCCCCCCCCCAAAATTACTCAGCTAAAAACGGGTGAGCGAGGAAAGTGGCTCTGAATACCACGTGTTATGGGTGAACTTGCAGAGTAGCACATAATGAGGTAGCAAAATTGTGAATGACTGAACTGTTAAAATACATATTGAGTTATATAATTGTTAGGCTTGGTAGGTTACCAAACTTTACTATAGAGGGTACAATCCCCTCCTTGTATGCCTCCCTCTTTCTATTCCAACTCCCTTTTCTCTCCTCAACTTTTCTCCTTCCTAAACCTCACGCCACTTCATGGCTCCTCCTAGCTAAACCTCATGCCTTTCCTAGCTTCCTAGCTAAGCTAGCCTTATAACATGAACGTCGTACAATGGAATGACGAAGCAAGATATAGGAATGCTAGAGAAATCCTAGCCGCGTGATTGAACAGGTTCAGAGAAGGCATCCAAGGTCGCGGAGCGCTTCGGAATGGCGCAGATTGGTTCGGTGCGACGTGTTCGAACCGAAGCTAGGGCTGATGTCGGTGCCATGTAGGGTTAGTGTACGCGTTCACAGTGTAGTGCGCTAAGGAATAGAAAATTCCCTACAAAGGGGGGCGTTGTGACCACCTCCGAATTAATTTTCAAGCTCGTTGCAAGCTAAAAATTGTTGTATGTGGACTGGTACATCATATAGGGGATTAACAATGACAAAGGCTAGGACACCTTTTCATTTCTCTCACGTTATCGGCGTGTTAAAACGAGCGCACATAGTATCTCGAGATGCAAGACTTTTAATCTTGATTGGTGGTTACAAATAAACCAGAGCTGCCTAATCATCGCCAAAAAAATGGGCGCTAGCCCTGAGCGAAACGAAACAGGCTCTCGCAACGAGGAAACTGAACACATTATCTATCCGGTAGCACTAATGCATCCTCTATTCTTTTGAGTGCATTTCCCATCATTGGCATCAAGCCTCTAAAGTACCATACCATAGGCATGAGAAGTTTACGTGGAAACTTGATGAATACAGGGAACATGCATAGCAGGCAAAAGATTGTATTCCGTATTAATTTGTGCCCCTCTTCCAAATCTTCTATTATTGTTGATATTGATATTCATTTTTGGTTGCGATGCCTAAAGCAGCATTCCATAAGATGTGAATTGAAGATTGTACTAAAGTAATGCAATTGAACAGACGGGCGCATTGTACATCTTCCAAAAGTATGCGTCTAGTTGGTAACCAGCCAAAGAGTCAAAGGGTTGCCTGTAAGGAATCTCCATTCCAAACTGAGTCGTCCGCTACCGCGTACACCCGAACGCCTCGACTCGTCACGTTCGGCCTTCATTATCGGCCCAACCCTTTCCCGAGTCGCGTCCGACACTGTCGCCACATTGCCGAACCTACCCATGTTCCGAGGTTATCGCCCTAGTACGCCAACCCCTATATAACCTCGTGCTTTCATTGCAATAGCGACCTTGTATTGTCCCGTTATTCTTAATTGACATCTTCTAAATCATTACAGCTGGTATCAGAGCCCGACCTTTCTCGGAACCTTCCGTTTCTCAGACTACATAGTTAAGGGTGGTCAGAGGGGATTAGCACGGCTGCACAGCAGTTGCCTTGGGTCGTAAATATTTTTACGCCAGCAACTACAGCGTGTGCGCTAGCTTCTGCCCTGTCCTGACCGCCATGGCCCCGGTAGACTCGACGGTAGAGGAACAGTCCACCTCGACTGCTGCGAACCCTGCCCGGGAAACTGTGGACCTGCAAGCATTAATGGAGCAATTGGATAATTTGACAAGCATCGTCGACAACCTCCTCGACGAGAACCAACGACTTTGCCAGGCGCAGGTAAGGCATTCAGAGGAGCCGGGCAACGATGCACAAAGTGAGGCGGGTGAGCAGCCACCGGCGCCAGTGGAGCTGGCACAACTAGCGGCAACAGCCACGCGCTCGACAAGTGGCGGCGTGAGATATCAGCAACCTGCTCCTTTCGACCCAGCTAATAAAGGCGTGACGGTGCAGTAGTGGATATTCGCAATGAATATCTATTTTAACGCGACAGGCATCCGAGACGATCAGAAGCGGATCAGCCATGCGTTAACATTGTTGTATGGGGCCGCCCTACATTGGTGGAAGGTCATCGTCTACTCAGCGGCAACTCCCACAGAAGGACAGCACGAGTGGTCCGAAGAATTCGATGACGAAGACGAGGCAGACTTGTTGTTTGGTGCGACCCACATTCGCACGTGGACAACGTGGTCCGCAGAGCTTCGCAAGCGGTTTGAGCATGCTACTGACTAAGACAAAGCACGTGAGACTCTACGCATGTGGAAGCAGCTGGGATCTGTGTCTGAATACACGGCGTCATTCTTGACGTTGGTGAACAGATGTGGCTACATGCATGAGTTGGAGAAGGTCGACAGGTACATGGGCAGGCTGAAGCCTGAAATACAGTACCAGATAAAACTGCAACGCTCTGCGAAGCGGTTACAAGACTTCTTCCAGCTCGCTGAAGCCGCTGATTCGCTCATGAAGCCGAGGACGAACTTCTACGACGGAGGTCGCCCTCGAGAACAGTACCAGCGTGCCACGATAAAAGGGATGGATGCAGTGGATATTTACGAAGTTGCTCCGTGAAATACGGGGCTATGCTACCACTGTGGATGGTCGGGTAACATCCAACACAACTGCCAAGAATTCATCGCCATCCAGAATTCTATGGGGAAGAAGCCGGAGGAGGGACCAGGAAATGGGTCGCGTCAGTAAGTACCGGGCCCCTTACTGACGGGCATGCTTCTTCGCCTAAGCCACACAGTCCCCACCGGGTCGTGATCTCGATTGCTGCAATTGACCGGACCTGGACAAATATGGGGGACGAAACTGCTGATCACCCCGTATTGGTGGAGGGTAAAGTCAACGGAGTGTTGCTGAAGATTTTCGTGGATGGAGGCGCGAGTCCCAGTCTCATGCAGCTGGACAGGGCTAAAAAATTGGGTATTCCCTTACTCAAGTGTCTACTCGAAATTGACACACGACTGGTGGATGGAACATCGCTGGCCATACGGGAATGAGTGGAGCACGTCAGTTTTCATTGTGGGGAGCACGTAAAATTTTGGATGGGGCTGCTGGCGACTACACTCGACATGTGCGACGTGCTGCTAGGACGGGATTGGCTGCGATAGTACAACCCAAAGATCGACCGGACGACGGGCGGTTGCAGCATAAAACTCGATGGGATCTACCGCAAGCTACCGAAATGGACGGGATCCCGCATGCGAAGTACTCAAGTCCACGCAATCACTATCAAGTGCGCGATAAAAGCGGGAGCTGCAGCGTACGCCATCGATCTTCGCGAGGTGACGTCGCCGACCACGGCCGAAGATATCGCAAAGCTGTGCGAAGCCGTCCCTCCAAATTTAGCGGACCTGATTCGAAAATACCTCGAGATTTTCCCAGACGACCCGCCCGCTGGACTTCCACCGAGCCGACCAGAAGACCACCGCATCGACCTGGAACCAGGCACCCAACCGACGGTGCAGCGACAATTTCGGCTCAGCCAACCAGAATTGGAAGAATTACAACAGCAGCTGGATTACCTTCTGACGAAGGGTTTTATCCGGCCCAGTACGTCCCCATACGCCGCCCCGATACTGTTCACACTAAAAAAGGATGGAGGATTCCGCATGTGCATCGACTACCGCGCGCTGAACAGAATCACAATCAATTCGCGTTACCCTATCCCACGAGCTGACGAACTACTCGACCAACTTCGCGGAGCCAAGTTCTTCTCGAAAATCGACTTGCGAGGGGGATTCCACCAAATTCGTATCGCCGCCAACGACTGTCACAAAACCAATTTTCGCACCTGATACGGCAGCTACGAATACTTGGCCTCACGAACACGCCCTCAACCTTCCAAATGACCATGAACGGCATTTTCAGGGAACTCCTGGATAAATGCGTTATTACCTACCTCGATGACATCCTAATCTTTAGCCGCAACAGGGAGCAGCACTTCCAGGATCTTGATGCAGTCTTCACACTGCTGCACAAGAATCGCCTCATCACGAAAGGGTCTAAGTGCGATTTTCTTAAGCATGAGTTGGAGTTTTTGGGCCACGTCGTTTCTACTGGAGTAAAAATCGACCCCAAGAAAATCAAGACCATACAGGAGTGGAAGCCGCCAACCAACATCAAGGAGCTGCAGAGTTTTTTTGGGTTCGTCAACTACGCCCGCCATTTTATCCCCAATTTGGTTGGGTTATCTGCCCCGCTAACTAACTGACTCAAGGATCAAGATTGTTTTTGGTGGGGAGAGAAGCAGCAAGCTGCATTCGACCAACTAAAAATCGCCCTCACGTCTCCGCCCGTCCTTCGCATCTCCGATCCTGACCGTCCATACAAAGTTATCACCGATGTCAGCGACATCGCCATTGGCGCAGTTTTCCTACAGGATTTCGGCGACGGATTACAACCGGTCGCCTACGAATCACGAAAGCTGCAGGGCGCGGAAATTAACTATACGGTACACGACAAGGAAATGCTGGCGATCGTCCACGCGTTCAAGACCTGGCGGTGCTACCTGACAGGCGCTGACGTCACGGTGGTGACCGACCACAAATCCCTCCAGTACCTGCGAGCCCAACCGAATCTCAACCCGCGACAGATCCGATGGCTCGATTTCCTCGAGTCAAATTTCCCTTACACCATCACCTACAAACGGGGCGCCAACAATATTGCCGATGCCCTTACTCGACCTACTACCCATACCGCCGCCATAATAGTTACCCAGACCAGCCCATTACTTACCGGACTATTTACCCATGGCTACAAAATCGACCCTTTCTTCCACTCTGCTATCCATCAACAGCATACCACCACCACCAGACACTATTTTAATAACCGTGATACTTCTCACATCTGGGTGCCCGGCTACGATTTACTTCCTACCCTTCTAATCTAGGAATTCCACGACAACCCTACCTCCGGGCATATCGGCGTCGACAAAACCATGAAGATGTTGCAGCGCCATTATTACTGGCCGAAAATGGCCGATGACGTGCGCAAGTACGTGTCCTCCTACACTGCCTGCCAGATTATGAAATCGTTGCATCAGCGAGCAGCCGGACTACTACAGCCGTTAGATCCGCCCGAGCGACCCTGGCAACACGTCACGATGGACTACGTGACAGGACTGCCGGCCGGTCTCAGTGGAAACGACGCCATCCTCGTGGCCGTTGACCGACTCATGAAAATGGCGCACTTCATCGCCTGCCAATAGAAAATCACAGCCGAACAAACTGCGCAGCTGTTCATCGCGAACGTCATCCGACTGCACGGACTGCCCTCCGCCATCATTTCAGACCGAGACCCGAAATTCACATCTAATTTCTGGCGCCACCTGTGGGACCAAATCGGCCCCAAACTACAGTTTTCCTCCGCCTACCACCCATAGACCGATAGGCAGACCGAACGAGTCAACCAAACTATGGAGCAACTCATTTGAACTACCTGTACTGACCCACAGACATGGGAGAAATCCCTTCTGCTGCTGGAATTCGCGTATAATAACGCGCCCTCCGCCACAACCCATCAGTCCCCATTTTTCCTCAACTACGGACATGACCCAGTGGTACCCTCTACCCCGAACATCGAGACACCCGTGCCCCGGTCCCATAAATTTGCTGAAGACATTCTCACCGCTCGAGAAAAAGCAGCTGAGGCCATCACGAAAGCCAACCTGGTCGCAAGCCGACAAGCCAATCGCCATTGACGTGGCATCACTTACAAAGTGGGAGACCTCGTCCTACTCGACACTCGCAATTTGCGGCTGCTGATCCCGAGCAAGCTCCGACCCAGATTCTGCTGACCTTTTCAAGCGACCAATATGGTGACACATGTCACTGCTCACCTCCAACTCCCGGCCGATTGGCGTCACCACCCGGCTTTCCACGCCAGCCTCTTACGGCCCTACGTCCCCAGTTCGTCAGAATTGGCACGCCAACGCAGTGTACCGCAGCTGACGCCCCTGCAGGAACCGATGACCGAACCCTTGAAAATTCTCGGCCATCGAGTCACGACGCAGCTGAACCGTTGGATGGTTGATTTTCTCGTCCGCTGGCGCGATCGCATTTCGAAGATGACAGCTGGGTGCCGCTCGCCGACCTAGAATCACATCCGATTCTAGCAGCATATTACCAACGTCGGAATGTTTTCGATGCCTGAGGACTCGTTTAGGAGGGGGGGGTAGTGTAAGGAATTTCCATTCCTTACCGAGTCGTCCGCTACTGCGTACACCCAAACGCCTCAACTCGTCACGTTTGTCCTTTATTATCGGCCCAACCCTTTCCCGAGTTGCGTCCGACAATGTCCCCACATTGCCGAACCTACCCACGTTCCAAGGTTATCGCCCTAGTACGCCAACCCCTATATAACCTCGTGCTTTCATTGCAATAGCGACCTTGTATTCTCCCGTTACTATTCATTGACATCTTCTAAATCATAACATCACCCATCAGTGAAGAGTTCTTAACTGTGTCGAACGGATGTAATTGTTTACAACACATGTGGTTATCGAGTCTAGAGTATGTACTCCTTCACATGGTTAGTTAGAGTGTTTAAAAATCTCTTGTACACTATGATGGTAGGTAGGATCTCCTAATACATGGAGCACAAATTTGGGGATACCGTACCGGTATCAACCCCCCGTTCACAATCCAGGGAACTGACCAAAAGGTACATACTAATACGAATCTTGGAAAGATTACACCATATCCCTCCAAGACCTTTCGTCCTCATAGGAACTTGGGATCTGCCCCTTCAAAACATCATACAGTCGTGCTATGCTTGTGTGGAACTACTTGCAAACTCTTTGCTAGTCACAAGACTCTGTGACCCAAAGTCGCCTCCTTCAGCAACTCAACTCGGTAATGATGAACCCTGGCAGGAATTTGACAACTTACATCAGCCACTGCTGTGACCTTCACGGTAGAACTACAAGAGCAGAAGTGAATGCTCCGAGACCGTGTTCGTAGCTACGTACTTGGCAGTCCTGGACCAATTTGGCGACACTTTCTCTCCCTCTTACAAACCCCCTGTGTAATCTCTGAATCTAAAAATTGCACTACACTGATCGTTGAATAGCATGACATATATTGAGTTTGTGGCGATGATGCGCATGACACAGACGCACGGGTTGAGTCGCTGGGACATTCTCAACTGCTGTACTAATCATTGTCTTTCACATCCCTCCCACCCTCCTTGGCAGGATGGCACGATCGACAATAACGAGTTCGTGGAGATGATGTGCATGACACAGACGTACAAGTTGAGTCGTAGAGACATTCTCGACGGCCATGTCGGGCTGACGGACATAGACATGGGAAGCTAGTCATTCTAAGACCTCATGTTGAATGACATGTGAGGCACACGTGGAACTGAGATGGTTGTCATCTCACAAAGTGTTTTGGGGGGGGTGGGGGAGGGGGGGGGGGGGGGGGTGTGGTTGTGCCCCCAAGCCAGCAGCCATGCTGGGCTGATGGACATGGAAATGGGGAGCCAGTTATTCCGAGAGCTCATGTTGACTGACATGTGATGTGAAGCGTGCAGAGCGCCATGGCCCATGACGGACAAGTGAGGCGTGCATTCATAGAGCCATGATGGGCTTTATCTCATGGGGTGAGGGTTGTGTAACTTGCGTTCCCAAGACAGCAGCCATGCCAAACTGACTGACGTGGAAATGAGCAGGCAGTCATTCCGAGACCTCATGTTGACGGACATGTGAAGCACAGCATGCAGAGGGCCATGACTAGGGCCAGTGATTCAAGGGTATTTCACCCTGATTACCCTTCCCAACGGCCACTTTTTGGAGTATACCCTAATTTTGTAAGTGTAAAAAAGTGTTTTGGTGCCGAATTTGCCCCTGGCACCCTTACAAATCAGGGTGAAATCGTCATGCTACCCTGATTCCTAAGGGTGCCCCTGAACTAATCTTGGGCCCTGGCCAAGACAGACAAGTGAGGCGTGCATGCATAGAGCCATGGCCCATGACAGACAAGTGAGGTGTGCGTGCATAGAGCCATGATGGGCGTTATCTCATGGGGTGAGGGTTGTGTGAGTTGCCTTCCCAAGATAGCAGCCATGCCAGGCTTGCGGACGTGGAAATGGGCAACCAGTTGTTTTGAGACGAGACCTCATGGTGACTGACATGTGATGTGCGGCACCACTCAAGTGGTTCGGCGCATTGAACATAATGTGTTACATTACACCCATTACCAACTCGTGAGCCACTAATGAACATTCAGATCAAGGATATGGTAGGTACATGAGGTGCCTTGAATGTCGTTAGATTGGATGCATAGGTTAGGCCAAAGCTTATATGGTACCATACTGGTAGCTTAGCTTAAAGTGACCAATGAACAGTATTACTAACCTACTATCATTGATAAGATCCTATACGTAATAGAATGTGTGCTGGATTGCATTGGCGATCTGTGTTGTGCATCTTCATAACTTGCGAATTGCGAATTGCAATACACTACCTTGGCTCTCTCCAATCCCAATCCACTGAAACACTTCGCACCTAAAGCCCAACTGTGGCTCCAATACATCAGGTGTACTGTGCAAGATATGCAGGGGGAAGAACATCAGGTGCGAGGCAACACTGAACCCAGTTCACCTCAAACCATCATAAAGGTATGGTAAGTGTGTGTGTGTTTGTACCCTGTAGCCATAAGCCTTTGTCATCTGGAGAACATAGCAACAGCCTATAACCAACTCAAAGCAACACCTACCGATCCACCAACCGAACCTCCGACATGCCTTCCCATCTGGTTGGGGAGTACCAGACCACGAGCGTGGCAGCCCCGATAGGGTTTAAGAAGCTGGTCATGGAAGGCATTATGGATCTTCCAAGTGGCTGGTAGGCGGAAGCGGAAGGTGACTGAAATGACCTTTGCTTCAACGATGATAGACTCGCAGAAGCAAGGTTGAAGCTTGGATGGAAGACAGTTGATGTCGAGATTATGGTCTGGACAAGTTGTAGTGATGAGCGGCCCAATGCTTCTGCTGCTGTTGGATGTCCAAGAGGCGCTTGTGTGGCCGATCCTTGAGATGGTCAGCACAAAAACGGGCAAAAGAAGCAGCACAAGTCGCAGCAGGAAATTGAATTGTGAGCACATGATGAGAGGATCACTTTTCGGTCGCTTTCCTAGGCACAGAACCGGCCCTATCAGAAAGTGCAACCTTTTTGCATTTTCCTCGTTAATAGCCTCTCCGTGTAGTTGTGGGCTCACAGTGCATGTTACATCCTAGATTCATTTTGCATTATACATAACTTGTGGGCTTCATATTTTTATGGGCCACTTTTAACACTCATACAGTACATATATTTTAGCGAGTTTTTTTCAACTCCCTAGGGTGCTATTTACGAGGGATTACTGTAATAGATCATTTTGGGCCATGTGGAAAAAATGAACAAATCCCATTAATAATGCACACCTGAACACGCCAACAAGCCAATGATAGATGATTAAATATATGTATATCCATTCCTACGAGGATAGACACCAAGGTTTAGAGTGCAGCCACAGAACGAAAAGATCAGCAAGAAATGCCAAAGTAGTGAAACCGTAATCCCCCAGATAGGCACCCCTTGGGGCATTTAGGACAAAACATTTTTTTCCCTGTGGGGCCGAATTCTTTAAAATAAGCCCCATGGCCTATCTCATGAATTATTTGCCATAATCAAAAGAAATCCACTAGGGCCCCAGGGCCTGATCTCAATTGAAATTACTGACGTATGTGAATTCCATGTTTGAGTGAGGATATTGCCAAGCTTGTTGACTGATCGTCTAATGGGAAAGCTTCTTCTGAGTGTGCTGGAATCCACGAATTCAATGGTAACGCGCGTTCGCCATTGGCTTGCGTACGCATGTGCCACGAAACCTAGTCTGAGCTATCAGAGAGCTAGATTTCACATGTTCGCACGGAAGCACGGGAATCCTACTTGGCAAAAGCTGTGTGTGTCAACTAATAGATATGTTAGACATGTAGTAGTTATAGGCTAGATGGGTCAATGCTCTTAGAGTGTACAACCCAAACAAGTAGAGTTATAGGCGCGACGGGGCCCAGGAGGGGCGCGACGGGGCTAGGAGGCGCGACGGGGCCCAGGAGGGGCGCGACGGGGCCCAGGAGGGGCGCGACTGGGCTAGGAGGCGCGACGGGGCCCAGGAGGGGCGCGGCGGGGCTAGGAGGCGCGACGGGGCTAGGAGGCGCGGCGGGGCTAGGAGGCGCGACGGGGCTAGGAGGCGCGGCGGGGCCTAGCTAGGGTATGGGCGGAAGCGGTAGGTGGGGGATTCTAATCTACGCGTGATACCATGTTAAAATGAGAAGTGAATGGTTGACTAGCAGAGGAAACCTAGAGCAAATACTAGTTGGTTGTATTTACTAGAAGCATACCTCAGTCTAGCCTATAACTTCTGCATAGCTAATATGTAAAAGTTGACAAGGGGCTTATTATCAAATTTTGTGTATAAGCCGCTTTAGTGGATTAATGGACGCAGGGTCCTAACGTAGGGGGGTCTTGTATCCGGGGGATTACGGTTTTCTTAATTGAGTTCATGCACCGTAGGAAAGTGAACGGAGCAGACATATTATTGATTGGAGGATACTTCAATACTAGGTTTAGTGTGTCAGTATGGTGCACGGATATGGGCGACTAAGAGACATTAGACATGCTTAGGTGTGTATTTTTTCTAGGACCTAATATGTAGAAGTTCTAAGATGCAGTACAAGGCTTCTAGGGTGCTGCTTCTGGCAAATACTGTGGCCAGCAATCCTGTACATGATCACCCCCTCCACTCCGCCAAACGCGCCCTCCCACAGCCAACTTTTCCCCTTCCCCGTCAAGCCTCGATCACTCCTCGCCTGGTTGCTGCAGGAAAGGGCTCTGCTCTGCTCTGATATGATGAACTGCACTTAGCTGGACGGTTGTACAAGCTGTACAAGACCAACAACCCACCAAGGTGGAATCCGTGCAAGGTGGAAATACGTTTTTGCTGGGTTAGTATTTCCACCCACGTTGAGGCCTTCAGTTTCCGATACTGACCTCAATCACTATTATCGGAAACGGGTCGGAAAAGGCATGACAGAAGGTCTCTTGTGTGGCTTCGACTCTCCAAGTTTTTATAACTGATGGGTTAGCAGGCGTCTTAGAGGTAAAACCTGACCCGGGATTGACAAATTTTTTCATGAGTGGGTCGTAGGTACGAAACGAACTTGCTAATTTGAGATAATCGCGAAAACACAGACGGACAGGAAGGGTGACCACCTCTATTGGCTAAACCTGGCTAAGCCCCTGACGAAATGTTTCGCGGAATGCCTTGACCTCTGTCAAACCCTTGACAGATTTCGTCAAGGTACAGTAATCGCCTGACTTTTGTCATCATGTGCGACGTCAAGCCGACGTGGCTCAAAATTGACAATTGCGTGACTGCTCGTCAGAGTCCGCCTCAGAAATTGAAGCCAAGGCATTTCGATTGATTCGACTTGAAAATGCGCGCTGCGCTGATGCCCACACACCTCCTTCCTGGATTCTTGATTCTCCGAGGGCATGTCCGAAGTGTCCGGTGCAGTTCGGTCTGGTTAGTAAACTCGAGGCTCTGTGCGATACCGTAGGATTCAGCGCCATACCTTTTCAGATTCGCAACTGACGACACGCCCTCGTTCCCATTCATTCTCAAGCCCATAAATAAAACGCAACCAGATCTCGAGTTTCCATCAGCGAAGCTAGTTCAGTACTGCCGAAATCAAGTTCATAGTTATCGTCGTCCTTGTTACCCCCACGGCTTTCTCAGCCCACTTATAAATCCCAACATCTCCTAGCTCGAAATCTCCACTGGAAGATGGGAAAGTGCAAACCTGCGAGCCGGCGTTTCTCCGCCATACGGCTCCGCAGCGCGGCAGCACCATGGCTCCTGGTTTTATCCATGGTCCTTGCGGCAGCGCCTTCCCCGGCTGTTGCGCCTCATCCCGACGAGAACAAGCCGCACGGCCCGCTGACCATGAAGCCGCCCAAAGGGTGCTACAAGAAGTGCGACCATCTTGTGTTGGGGTATGAAATAAAGCATTCTAAAGCCACGAGGGCGACGCGCGTTCACACCAACGCGAACGCCAACTATGAGCGCTACGATATCGACACGAATGTCGCGAATGTCGTCAACTCAACGTCCACCTCGGGGGTAATCACTGATAGATGAGGCTGTAGGGTAAACTTTCATGATCTAGCACATCTAGTGCTCATTCAGTCCTTTCTCTATATCTTCATGCAACCTGTTCCGTTTGTGTTATTTCGCGAGTCGATTTCAAAGTTCTCGCGCATCGTTTACTAAGAAGTCGCGGCTTTCAAATGAAACCGTTTGTCGTAGCTTCAGTTACTCGCCTCACGCCCGCATCGAGTCGTCCCATTTCAGCCTGAACTCAGCCCTTTCTCTCATTTCAGCGCGCCGCTTCGTCACACTAAAAAGCGCCGTCCTTTTCCCGTTATCCCCCCCCCCCCCTGGCAGCACACTAACGAAGCACTGGAGTGCTGTCAGAAGTGCGCGGCGCAGACAGGATGCAAGTTCTGGCACCTGAATCCCCCGCAAGGCAATATTCTGTAAGCATAGCGGTCGGGGACCAGTGATCCTACGCCTACCATACGCCGGCCGTCAAGCTTTTCTTGAATGCGCCCACCCCTTCAATGATAGTACCATCCATGATACCACTGATGTTGGCATCATTCACGCATTTCTAGTCGCACGTTTCGCTTTCTACATCTACACCACAGCCATGATTCGTTGAGTCACAGAACCATGGCTTCAACCGTCCCTTCACTTCTCTCCCTGACTCCATGTTCCTTTCCCGCCCGGCGCTGTGCCAACGAACAGTGGCGAATGCACGATGCTGGGGTCGCTGGCGGGCGTAAGAACGATGAACTGGGACACTGACATTCCGCCATCGTACATTGGCGGCGAGTGCAACCCCGTCGCCGGTACGGATGACGATCCGCATTTCCTGGGAGCAGATGGCACGCGCTTCGACTTCAACGGCCTGCTCGGCCACTCCTTCTGCCTGCTCTCCGACCGTCGGATCCACATCAACATGGGGATCAACGGCTACCGCCCCATCGCGAATCTCCCAGGAACTGCCACGTCACTGGACGAAGACTCTCTCGCAGCAGCGTTGGAGGCGGTGGCCCATGAGACGAAGCCAAGTCATATTCGGGAGCTGGAGCAGGATAGGCTGAGCGCCGACGAAGTTGCTGAGCTGGAGAGGATGCGGGCGAATGGGAGCCTGCCGTTGACTGCAGAGGTGACGGCGGCGCTTGAGCGGGAGATCGGGAGGGGGGAAGAAGAGCAGCAGCATTCGATTCAGTATGCCGAGCATGAGCTCAAGGCGAGGCTGCTCAAAGGAAAGGCGATTCGCAGCTGGATCAGGTAAGTGCGTGCAGCTTCTGTTATATAAAAATTCTCTTGTTAGATTCTTCTTCCTCGTCCATCGGATGGACTCGCTGCGAATTCCTCTTCACAGGGTTGCTTCCTCTCTCGCCTGCCCTGCCTTCCCAAAACTGCTGCCAGGGAGCTCCAAGTGATGTGGCGCGATGAGATTGGCCAGCACCACTCGGCATACATCAAGGCGCGAGACGGCAAGGAGCAGGGGCGGGGCAGTGGCGGGTTCATCGACCGGATGGAAATCGACGGCCAGCCGATGACCCCGCCTTTCGAACCCGGGTCTTTCGTCTCTGGAAGTGGCGGATTCACCCTGCTGCTGGCGGAAACGCGGAGGAGCCGCAAGGGGAAGGAGGAGGACGAGTTCCGCCTAACGATCGAGGGAGTGTTGAATATGGCGGTCACGGCACGCGTGGCGCATCCGCTCATGCAGACTGCGGACGAGGCGCAAGCGCACTTCAACGTGGTTATCGTGCAGCTAAATGTAAGAAATTCTCTCTTCGTGAAAGTCAGCTTTCGTCTTACAGGGCAATGCTCTCTTCTCCCTGCTCGGCTGTGAGCCGCCATTTGCATCGTCCTAGACAATTGTGCTGTCGTGTCAATTCAATTCACTCCTATATGTGTTCTTTCAACCACCCTCATCTCTTCCGTCCTCCGCTCTTCCCCCATCCTCATTCCCTCTACACCCCCCCACCTCCCCCCTCCCCCCCCCCCCCCCCCCCCCCAACCACACGCAGCACACAGAGGGGATTCACGGCGTGTTGGGGCAGACTTTCCGCAACGAGGCGGTGCGCAAGGTGCGGTCGTTGCGGTACCGCCTGCTGACGCGGCTGCTGCAGGAGGCGGTGGACGTGGAGAGCGAGAGCGGCAGGGGGTTCCTGGACGGGCGCATGGAGGACTACATCACCTCGGGGATCGGCGCGCCGGATTGCATGTTTGCTGCTGCGTGGCGGAGGGGCGAGCATGAAAACAGCGAAGGTAGTGACTTCATGCGGCGATGAGTGCGGATTTGAAGCGGTGCTATGCGTGATTTTGCATGAGGAATAAGATGCTTTACGGTTAAAATTACAACCTAGAATGGTTGGATGATAACAAAAGGTGTACGTACGTTGGGGGCAAAACTCTCACAGTAGCGAAGTGAACTAAGTAAGGGCATACATGGTATTATATGAGTTGTGGGTTGTACTGATGAAGAGCACGCACCTGTCTAGCATATAACTAGACATACATTACAAATGTATAAGTTGACACACCCCCTAGGCTAGACAAGAGGCAGTGCCTAGCAAGCGAGACGCAGCTCACGGCGGCACCAATAGTCCAACCGCTGAGGCAAGGGTCTGAAGACCGGTCAGCGGCACCAATAGTCCAACCGCTGAGGCAAGGGTCTGAAGACCGGTCAGCAAGAGAACAAGCTAAACAACAATAACCCACGACGGCACTATTAGTCCAGCCACTGGAACAAGAGGCACAATGCCGGTCAAAAAAATATAAGGAATAGTACACAATCAGGATCTTAGCAAGTGAGGAGCTACAGGAACTAGACCAAGCTGGACACAATGTCGCTGATAATCATTAGGCGCAAGCACCTTAGTAAAAACATCAGCAGTGTTGTCACCGGAGGCCAAGTGTACAACGCGATCCTGGCGGCGCTGCTGTAGCTCGCGTTGGAGGAAGTACCGCAGCTAGATGTGCTTCGCTCTGCCTTGTAGTCGAGGCTCCTGACATAGGAGGATCATGGCCCTGTTGTCAGCGTACATGACCAGGGCAGAGCTAGGCTGCTCACCTAAGTCAGTGAGTAGGAACGTCAGCCAGCAGAGCTCCTGTGCCGCCATGGCACCAGCGCAGATCTCAGCCTCAAATCTTGACTGTGCTACAGAGACGACGAGCGGGTGGACCTCGACGAGATAGCGCCTGCACCAAGGCTAAAGCAGTAGCTCTGGGAGGTCCTGAGCGTCTCAGCGTCGTCCGCCCACGAAGCGTCTGTCTGCCCTGTGAGAACCACTGGCTTGCGTCCTCCTAGCACTAGCCCCATGCCCGATGTAATTGCTAGATAACACAACACCCTCTTAGCGGCCGACCAGTGCTGGGGTCGGTGTCTACCTATCGCCACAAAGCGAGCGAAGGTATGCGAGATTTGGACGAATGCAAGTCATCAGGTACATGAGGCAGCCCACAAACTCTGCGTACGGACCACCGGGCTCAACTGAATCATCAGGGACTGGAGCCGAGAGCCTGTGATCTACAGACAGAGGGGTGGGCTGTGCGGAGGAGAACTAAAGGCCGAACCTCCGAAGGACCTGGCACACCAAGTGTGACTGTGTGAGAGTGATGGTGCGCGCTGCTCTGTCCTTGGAGATCTGCAGCCCGAGGTAGCGTTGCAGTTCTCCTGGGTCAGTGCAGGTGTGTGTCCTCAGCAGGTCGACCTTCACTGTGGCCAGCGCGTTCTATCTGTAGTAGTGAAGACCAGGTCGTCTACGTAGACTAGGATGTACAATGGAGTCTGGCCTGAGCGAACGAAGAGTGACGGTTCAGCAGAGGACACGAAGAACTGTAGGTCTGCTAATGTAGCACGCAGCGTGTCGTGCCACTCACAAGGCGCCTGCCCCATACCGTAAACCGGGCGCCAGAGGAAGCACTCGGTCCCCGAAAAGAGATAGAGAAGCATGGCGGACGACGCAGGTACAGTAGATCTGCTCATGCAGACTACCTTGGAGAAACTCTGTAGAGAAGTCAAGTGAGTGAAGCTCGTAGTCGCGCTGTGCTGCTACGTGAAGCAGCGCCCGAAGAGTAGTAATCTTCGGGGCCGGAACGAAGGTCTAAAAGAAGTCAACACCCTCACAATGACTGAAGTCTCTAGCAACGTAGCACACCTTGAACACCGGCGGCTCTCCAGGAGGGCGCTTCACATCAAAGAGCCACCGGCCATTGACTACGTTCGCCCCAGGTGGGGGAACTGCGTCGACGGACGTGCCGGTGGATCTCCAAGATGCCATCTCTGCGTCCATGGCAGCTCTCCACTAAGAGGCCCAGGGTCTCGAAGTCGCCTCCACGTAGGTGCGAGGGGTCGGGATGTCAAGAGCGTCTGGGTCACCCTCAAGGGCTAGCTGCATGGAGCAGAGATGAGGAGCGCCCTCGGACAGGAAAGCTAGCTCGTATTGCCTAATCTCTAGAACGTCTCTGCCAAGGGTATGTGCACCCCCGATGGACGTAGGATGGGCAGGGTCTGGGACCAGAACAGTGGCGTAGTCAAGGCGGCGGGTAGAGGCCAAGTCAGCGACGGCAACGACAAGAGCTGAGAGACGGGAGACAGAAATGGACGGGTCAGTAACAAGAGAGGCGAGAACCCTAGGAACAAGAGGACAAGCAGCACGGAGAAAGTCAGAGAGAGGAGGCGAGGAGACAGAGAGGGACGACTGAGGAGGCGACGAGAGAAGAGGAGTGGAAGGAGTACGAGACGCGTGAGACCAGAGTAACATAGGGTGGGAACGCTGAACAAGAGAGACAGGACAAGCACAAGGGACACGGTGAGACCACCAGTGGGAGGGAGGTGTCGGGTCAGAAGACAAAGGTGGTGACACAGGAGGAGAACGAGGGGGGAAACGAGCCGTGGTCAAGTCCGGCGGAGGAAACACCGGGCCGTAGACAGGCGGAGGAGGCGGCGCCGAGGGAAGCGCGCATAGGCGGTCGGGGGAGGGAAGACCGAGGAGGTGAAGGGCGGACACTGGCGGCGATTGCTGCTGCTGCTTCTGCTCTGCGTCCACACCAGAACCTCTAGCCGCACCACGGCTGCCTCCAGGATTGACACAAAATCACCCCTAGGACTAGAACCCCCAGAAACAGCACCTCCAGGACAAGCATCCCCAGCACCAACACCCCCAGGACGGGGACCCTCCTCGGCGCCTGCACCCCTAGCACCAGCACCCCCAGAGCCCACGGACCCCTGCTTTTGTGGCGGCTGCAACAAATGCTGCGGCGGCGGCGGCTGCAGCGGTAGAGGAGACACCGGGGCCAAGGGTGCAGGCGCCGCAGAAACAGGCGGTTGACTCTGAGCCTTAGGGACCCCAGAGTCAGCAGACTCCTCTGCCGGGCCAACCGAGGGAAGGGGAGTGACGTGAGACACACTAGACGGGGCGGGACGGGGAGCGGGGCCTACCGAAGAAGTGGGGTAACCAGGAGAACTCGGTGGGGAAAGCGGGCATAGAAGGACTCAGACTCGTACGACTGGGTGATGCCCGCCGCACGACAGAACTGGCCAAACTGATCAGAGGTGAACTCAACGCCACGGTCGGAGTGGAGATGAAGCACTGGCTGGGCGCGGTGGAATCGCGCAGCTAGAAGCCACGGGATAAGAACGCCAGGCACGTCGGCCTTCCGCTCCAGGGGATACACCGTGGTGTAGCACGTGTTGTCGTCGACGAGAACCAGAAAGTAGCGCTCGCAATGCGGCCCAAGGACGAGGGCTGGGCCCTAGACGTCCAGGTTCAGGGTCCGGAGTGGCGCATTGGTAGGGAGAAGCGAGGAGGAATGAGAAGCACGATGCAACCGGCCCTCGACGCAAGGTGTGCATGAAGGTGCGGGCGAGGGAGGGAGGGCAGGAAGCGACGCAAGGAGACCTAAGACAAGACCATATTGGGACATGTGACAGAGACGCGGGAGGGCGGGGTGACCTAGGCGGTGGTGCCACAACAGCGACGGGTGAGTGAGCGAACGACACGAGCAAGCCGCAGCGATCTGGGTAGATGCAGCCACCTGGGGGGACGCCCCCACCAGGGGGGACGCAGTGTCCAGCGTGAACAGGCCGGACACCGGGTCCTGGGGGAACGTGCTGAGGGGGGCACTAGTGGCGGCCTCGGTAGAGACTGCGTACCGCTCGTATCCAGGAAACGTAGTGGTGACGCCGAGGTCCTAAAGACAGCTGACACCTACTAGGTTCCTGGAGAACGAGGGGATGTGCAGACCTGGAAGGGAGCCCGAAGGAACTGCCGAACAGGGAAGGGTGGTAGAACTACATGCAACTATTGGGCCTGAGGAAGAGTCAGCAAAAGTGACGACTGCGGGGGCGGCAAGCGGCGTGAGAGCGTCGTGAGAGCGTTGTGGTCGCGAAAGAAGCAGGCGGACACACCAGAGTCCAGCGTGAAGGAGAGAGCAGCTGTAGCGTCAGCCGGTGGGGGGACTAGGGTGGTGCCAAGGCTAAACAAGGTAGGAGGTCCTACGCCTGACATAGTAGGGAAGGGTAGACTACACACAGCGCAACACCTACGCTAGGGGTCGGCAGCGAGCTAGGGTCGGCGTCAAGCTAGGGCAGGCGTCGAGCTGGGGCCGTCGTCGAGTTGGGGCCGGCGCAAGTTGGGGCCTGTGGTGAGCTAGGGGCCGCGCGGCGAGCTGAGGACGGCGGCGATCAAGGGGCCGCGCGTCGAGCTAGGTGCCGGGGGCGAGCTAGGGGCCGGCGGCGAGCTAGGGGTCGCGCGTCGAGCTGAGGCCGGCGGCAAGCAAGGGGCCGCGCGACGATCTAGGGGCCGCTGGCGAGTTAGGGGCCGCGTGGCAAGCTGAGGCCGGCGGCGAGCAAGTGCCGCACGGCGAGACGAGGGTGGCGCGGCGGACTATGGTAGGCTAGGGCAGAAGCGCGGGTGGGTGGGACCTACCTAGTCTGATACCATCTCTGAATAGCGAAGTGAACCAAGCAAGGGCATATAGGGTGTTAGATGAGTTGTGGGTTGTACTCTCTGAGAGCACGTACTTGTCTAACCTATAACTAGACATACATTACAAATGTATAAGTTGACAAAAACACATTTTCTACAGTTTCGATGCCTGAGGTATTTTAAAAAGCTTGTATGTGCACGTAGGACGTGGCAGTACGAACAGTTTGAGCTTGGACAACAATGCTAGCCCCTCGTCCTTCACCATGCTCCCAAACAAGTAGAGCTCTTCAAGCCCTGTCAGCCTCCCCACATACACCATGCCAGCACATACTGTAAAGATATATGACCCTAAGGTTTTTTTTTCGTATACTAGCTAAAGAGGGGGTTGAGTTTTATAAGGGAACCTAATATAAAATTACTCGGGTGATATCTCGTACACATATAGAATTCAAGTTTCTTCATGTATTGTTGTTACTCGTTTACATTCCTGACTAATTTTCGAGCGCATTTGATATGTCGGGAAAACCCTTGGGAAACAGATTGGAAGCGAT